ATATATTTTGGTGGCTACTAGCATGTACAACCGTAAGTATTAACCACATTTTGCTCTAACGTTTGTCAACATTTTAATTTAACGTTCTTTTTAATCAAAGTGGTTATATACTTCAGGTTTGCACTGATGATGGATTGTTTAATCTGAAAACGTTCTGCAATGTGTTTGTGATAGCCCGTTTGGGGCATTTTTATATACCTTTTATAAAGGATTTTAAACAAAATTTGGAAGTTGAAAGGGATAATGAAAAATGTTATTGAACGTTTAATAGTAAGTGTCAGCGTCATCGAGTCAGATATCTCAATTTAAGATATTTAAAGGATTCAGATGATTTATTATTTATTAACCAATCTGTAAGTACAAAGTTTAGCGTTTAATATAAATATAAGGTGATATACTCCGTTCGCTATACCCAGTCCGAACTGTCTAGTGAATTTAGTAATTATTTTTTTGCGAAGTTAGTTATTTTTTGATAGACTAAAAGTGACTGGAAATTACTATACAACCAAGCACACGTAGCCAACACAATAGCCAATATTAATAGAAAACAAACTAAATAGTAAATAAAATAGAACTTTGCGAATTACCGACAATTAATATTTATTTATCTGCACCATATACTAAACAACTTAAATACATTTTTTAAATATATACTACCCAAAATTTGATGGGTTTAGTATGCACTTCTACTATTTAGAGTAATTCTCTTTTTTCAAAGAAAGAAGTCTGTAATAGTAATATACTTTGAGCTATTAATACTGAGAAGTAGGAATTGTTGTGTTGTAGGTTTCCGACAATGAATCTGTCAAAATATGCCCGAGCTAAGCGAATGGAGTATACAGGGTGGTTGAATCGTCAAACGGCCATAGGAAACTCAATGGGAAATTATAAATTGTTGAATTCCTGCTTCCCTAATTATTTTACACCAAAAGTCATGGGAAACTATTTGTAGAGGACTCAAATATGTATCGAAAACAACTGTTAAAATTATTCTACGACTTAAACGTATTCCAAAATTTTGCTAAAATAGGTATAATACATTTTTCTGTGAAAAAATGTGTATTACGTGTTGCGTTTGTCTTATTATTGTTTCTGATATTTGACAATATTTAAATCAATTATATTACATTTATCTATGATTTAAATGGCCAAAATTTTGTGATTTATTGTTAAAAAAAATTAAGTTGATTAAAAAATGTACTCAGTTGAGAAGAAAAAAGCAATAATAAAAATGTTTTATTCATGTTTTATTATAACATTTGTTATATAGTTTTATATATTATCACAGTAACAGTATATTGGAATTCATTGAATTGTTGTATAACTTAACTTAACATGGAATTAAATTTTCAGTGAATTAGAATATCTTACGTTAAATAAAGATCCGGTAGTGGCAGGAAAAGGTTCGCGCTATTGCCTGAATACAACATTATGCGATTTTTCGTCAACTGAGTACATTTCATTATATTGATCGATTTGTAAACAATATAATTTATTGTTCACAAAGTAATAATGTTCATTAGTAGTAGTATTTAGTAAAATTCATTGTTTATAATTTAATCATAAAATAAAAAATTGACAATTCAAATTGTCAAACATCTGACATAAATATGATAAAACACAAACGTCCTAATATATATTCTTGCATTACGTGTGGCCTAACTTTTAGGTGTGGCCTGAAAAATGTATTATATTTTTCAAAATTTTTAAGTTCATTTGAGTCGTAGAACGGTTTTAACATTTGTTTTTAATTCAGATTTTAGTCCTCTACAAATAGTTTTTTATGACTTTTGATCTAAAATAATTAGGGAAGCAGCAATTCAACAATTTAAAATTTCTCATTGAGTTTCCTATGGTCCGTTTGACGATTCACCACCCGGTATATGGTTGAATGCTCGAATAAATGGACTTTAATGAAATAAAAGCAGATATCAAGCACAGTTTTTTATTAAATCTTGCCTAAAGTACTTTCGCTCTTAGAGCATCTTTCGAGGCATTTCGTAAAAATTAAAGGCTATCCAGCACTTTTATGAATGTCATAAATATCCAATAGATTTACACAACACTAGACAAAGGACCAACAGTTTTAAAACATTTTTAAATTTGAAGAAGCTACATAGTGGGTGCCATTCTCTCTCCTACTGTCACTGTCCTGTCTAGTGACAGAAGGACTATTTGTCCTTTATCTAGTGTTGTATAAATGTATTTTTTAATGTTTATGACATTCATAAAAGTGCTGGGTAGCCTATAACTTGGACGAAATGCTCCGGAAGATGCTCTGAGAGCGAAAGTCAAAATTTGGCCAAGATTTAATAAAAAAATGTGCTCGACATCTGCCTTTAATTTAATTTAAAGTTTGTAAATGTTTATCGTTGTAATAAATTATGTATCCAAAACGTATCAAAATGAATTCACTATATTTGTACTAAATAGGCTAGGTATGACAACGTAAATATTAAATCACATAATACAAATTAATTTTTATTATAGGTTTTTTATAGCTACAGAAAGCTCGAAACAGAAGTGGAAGATCAAGTAAATAGAGCAGAGCTTCAGATTGCCTGAATGAAATAATATTTAAGAATAGAATCATCGGAAATTAAATGAAAGGCAGAATTTACAGTTATTAAACCAATAATGACATAACGCGGCAGGAACACCACCTGAGAAAACGAGGACAAAAAAAATATAAGAAATAGTAAAGATAAAAGCTTTTAGAAAAATTGATGGTAAGACACTGTGGGACATTAAGGACTGGTAAGAAGTAGACAAACAAATAAACAACAGAAAAACCCAATTTGGATTTAGGAATGCCATAGGTACACGAGAGGCATTATTTGGATTTAACGTCCTCATGCAAAGATGTATGGATGTAAACCAACCACTCTATGTTTGACTTATGTTACAACTCATTATATCATCTCTACTTTAACCAAACAGCAAAAGTCAGAGTAGGCAAAGAACTTTCGGAGGAAGTAGAGATAAAAAGAGGCGTAAGGCAAGGTTGCATACTCTCCTCCTTATTGTTCAATCTATATTCGGAAGAAATAATTAAAACATCACTCGAAAATGTAACAATTGGAATAAAAGTCAACGGCAGACCCATCAACAATATCAGATACGCCGATGATGCTATATAATTGCAGAGAATATACAAGATTTACAGACACTTTTAGATAATATAGTAAATGCTAGTGAGGAAAGCGGACTAACGCTTAATGCTAATAAAACAAAATTTATGACAATTTTCAAAACACAATAACAAGACATTTTAAACATAAGAGGGGTTCCAATAGAAAAAGTAAAAAAAATACAGATATCTTGGTACAATTATTAATGAAAATAACGAATATACACAAGAAATAAAAATGATAATAGGCCAAGCTAGAGCAACATTTAATAAGATGAGAAAAGTATTATGCAGTAGAGACCTTAGTTTGCAACTCAAAATAAGAATATTACGTTCATATGTGTTTTCGGTGCTGCTATATGGGGTGGAGGCTTGGACCTTAAAGAAAGGGTTGATCGATCAACTTGAAGCATTCGAGATGTGAACCTACCGAGAATATTAAAAATAAGTTGGGTAGACTGAATAACAAATGTTGAGGTCCTCGGAATGATGACAAATGAAATGGAAATCATGAATACGATTAAGATAAGAAAGTTACAATATCTCGGACACGTTATGAAAGGGGATAAATATGTGTTGCTACAAACCATAATGCAGGGAAAAATACAGGGAAAACGAAGTAGTGGAAGAAGATGCATCTCCTGGCTCAACAATCTGAGAAAGTGGTATAATTGCAGTTCCGTCGACTTGTTGAGAGCCGCAATCTCTGCAAGTGAAAATAGCTGTGATGATTACCAACCTCCTGAGAGGAGACGGTACTTAAAGAAGAAGAATAAATAGAAGAGTAGAATGGAACGATCATATAAGCCGAATGACAACAAATAGACTAGTAAAGACGGCTAGAGATGGTGTCCCCAATAGGAATACGATCAGTGAGAAGACCACGAAAAAAATGGAACGATAACTTACTGGACGGAGAGAGATGGTTTCCCAATAGAAAGACGATCAGTAGGAAGATCTCAAAAACTATGGAACGATGTACTAGAGTCAATGTACTAGAGGCACATTGAAAAACTGAAATTTGTGTACATAAATAGACCAAGAAGAAGCTTTTTTATCATGTAGATAATTGTAATCTTTGTCTGCATTATAAATATGATTAATTTGCATTATTGAGCATATTCATTATAATTATAGTTGCATCTGTATAAAGTTTAAATAAGGTGGGTGACAGGCAGTGTCCTTGTCGAAATCCTTTTATCTACTTTGTCCGACTTTTATTCTACATTCATTGTCTTCGTAAAGTGATTTATACGGCATTTATGTATGTGTTATCTACTCTTATTTTTCCACTGCTTTGCACAGGATTCCCGGATTCCCGTTTGTTGTTGAACGGGATACTATTATAGGCCTTCCGAAGGCTCACAAATACAATGTGCAATTTATTTGCTATTGTTTTTTATATGACCTCTTTTATAAAAATATATTATAAATATTCGCCTATAATTTACTGGGGTTCTTTTTTGTTTCGATTTTTATGTATAGAGCTTAAGTAGCTCATTTTTCTTCGGTATTCTTCCATCAAAGAATCATTTGTTAAATATTTATTTTAACTTTTATTAACTCTGAGTAATATTTTACCTATTCATCCATTTGTATTGGTTTCATATTTACCCTTTCTTACTAAAATAGCTTCCCATTAAGCTATCTAAGTCATCGATTATTGGATTTCAGACTTTAAGTTGGTTGGGTCCATGTAGTTAGGTGAACAGTTTATTTTCTAAATAACAAAAAACACTTCGTAAAAGGTATGCAAAGTCGTTACCATATAGTTATTAGCTTATCAGTTGATAAAGTATTAATTGTTTAGCTTCTAATTTGAATATAGTTTGCAAGAATAATAATTAGAATTAGAAAGAATCGAACTTACTCTTTACACTAACTGATGATGGATCCTCATCCAGTTCTCTAGGTGCGTCACGTAATTCAGAAGCGAGACTTTCTTGCCTACCGTACTGCATGGTGGAATTCATAGGTTTTTCTGGGGATGTTGAAGACACTTTGTTAATTTGTACATTAATTGACGATGGATCTATATCATGTTTCTTAAATAAGGGCATATCTTGAGAAGGGGTACTTTTCAGACTATCGTACTTCATGGTGGAACTCATAAGATCTTCTGTAGATGTTAAAGAAACTATGCTACTTTTTACATTAACTGAAATTGGATGCTTATTAGGTTTAGTAGATGAGAGCGTTTTATTGGGCAGTGTAATGTTCTGTCCGTCACCCTGCATGGAGGAAATATATAGGATCCTTATTGAATGCTGTTAACACGTTTAGGACAACATATATATAGTTCTGGTCCTTCCGGTTGACAATATTCTATATATGAGTTTGCATCTAATTTATAAACAGAGCCACAAACTCTTGCAGGTAGACAGATACCTTGTAGGCCCGCAATACAACATGCTAAACAAAAAAATATATGAATTATATTTTACCTTATAGATAACAAAAAAACATAGCAGTTATGACTTGATGATCAGGACATATCGATGATCGGAGAATTTGGGAATTATTTAACGTCTATAAATCAAGTACACAATGATACTACCTGATACAAATTCATGAAAAAATTAAATAAATAAAAATCATTTTAGAGAGAAGCTAGTTTTCAAAAAATGCAGTGGAGTTGCAATATTAATTAATTTGGGAAAAATAGATATATTATATTTAAAAACCGCAAAATTGCATTAGTCACTTAAACAATAAATTAAATATGCTTTTTAAAAAGGTTTTATCTTTAAAACTGTAATTATATAATCATTTAGGGACATTCGAAAAAACTGACATGAAATATTTTCGGAATTTCTAACCACGTGGATTTTAAACGGGTTCGTAATTTGGTGTCATTCCGTTTTCCAGTCTCATAAAGAAAGGTGCGAATATATTTATTAGAAACAATTTTATAGAATGGAGACGTTAAGTGACATTTTTTTTGGCAAATAGAGAAAAATTGCTATGCCTTTGGCAAGATTTTAAAACAAGAAGTGATATACCTAAAATGTGGATGAAAAATCATTCATATATTATCTCTGAATGCTATAAATCTAGTATTGATAAATCCCAAAGAACTTGAAGAAACTGTTGTACAAACTGCATTTAGATTGTTGTCCTGGGACAAAAGCTGTCGAAAGCTTCTTTCCACCTTTCAATAATGTTTGGAATTGTTTGGATGGATCATTATTTCTGTAAAATAACCAGGGTTTAAGCAAAATATCGTTGTTGTTTTGAGATAGCTTAATAATAATTCGTTTGGTTAACGCAGTTTTTATATAGTAAACAATCCAGTCTCTACCAAGTTGATTAACTTTTCCCTTCTTGGAGTAAATGTCATAATAATGTGTAGGTGTTTTATTATACGGTAGGATCATGTCACTTTTTGTAATTGTCCAAAAACATGGTCCGCTGGCAAATATGAATGTGCGAGTACCGGAAAAATAAGTACCACATATTTAATATTTTGTGGGGCATCTATGTACAGCCATAGCATGAGCATATGCATCATGTGTGCATTTTTTATTCTGCCCCGCACAACCATCTGCGAATAGTCTTAGCTGTTTTATATCTAATTCAAATTCAAATTTAATAAGAAAATTACGTAAAACAGAACTTGTTACTGTAGATTCCCTTTTTGCTTGATGTTTCATCCAGGTGTAGAAAACTGGCTTTTTAATATCCTCATCGGTTACACAAAAAACAATAAAAAGGCAACTGTTGGGCGTAAAATTCATCTTTAATGGGCACTTTCGGTAAGACTTAAACCTTTGTTTTGCTGAAGGTCAAAACAGTAGGAAACAGTGTGTTCCGGTTTTTCATTCTTTAGTTTAAAAAATTGTTTGACCCGTTCTTTATATACAAGTAGAGAAGTTCTTAGTTTATCAATTTTAGTTTTGTCTTTGCAAAGGCTAATAGAAGTTAAGGTTCTAACACAAAAGCCATACGTCAGTAGCAGGGCTTCCAAATGCAATATTAAAATGACTATTAAAGATCCTACCAAAATACTTGTAATTTACTTTCAAATACTCAACAGTACTCTAAACAGATTCCATAAATTAGTAATATTATTTTCAGATGATAGATAAATGCGCCGAGATTAACACGCTCGTAATGACTTTCATGGGCTTTGTAAAATTGCAAAAAATCATGTCCAGGCTTAGAGAATTGGCCGTTAGTGAATACCTGGTTCAACGTGATTGACAGATACTTTACTGACAGGTCTATAGGAGAAAAGATGCCAGCATCAGTTTTGTCGCAGGGTTTTCCACAGACGGACATGGCTAATGCGGCTAATACAGCCCTGCATCGCATTAGTAGGTGATCAGAGAGAACGATTCTACAGCTAGCGCCTTAGAAAACTAAGGTGTTAGTTCTCAAAGAGACCGGGAAAGGTCCTCTCTTCGCTTTATAGTGGAAGATGTGGAGGTTGCACGGTTAAATCAATTAAATATCTGGGAGTCTGGTTGTCGGAAGGTCTTAGGTTCGGAGTACACATCCAAAAAACAGTAGAGAAGGCAAACCGAAATCTGGAAGCGTTGATACGGTTGATGCCAAACATTGGAAGCCAGAAAGCTTCCAGACCAATATGTATTAAAATAACGAAGATTTTTTCTTCATGTTTCTTAGTTCGTATCTTTCAAGTTAAAACCCAAACAATATTTCGTTCTTTTCACGTCGCCAAGTCGATAATAAATTATTTTATTGTTTGTTTGTACCACATGGGCAAATTCTTCGATATTCCTTGATCGTTAATCCGCCCGAAACTGCGTTTTCAAATTAATAATCTGCGTCTTAATTTTCGTTGTGTTTTGTTTATTTCAGCGTTTTGTTTATTCTAGCTTATGCGACGAATTTTAAAAGATAATTTCATCACTTTCGTTGGAGCCGCGGTGAAGAGCGGTGGTCTTCAACGTTATGTCCAAATTTTACGTCAAATTTGAAATGTTCCTCGTTGTTCGTCTTTTTTTATGAAGAATATGTAAAATATAGTAGCAGTTTAATGGTTCAGTTACAGTTTTAAGTGAGTTTTGAAATGTTGACATTTCAAAGCCAAGTCCAGTTTAGTTTCCAAGGTTTGTGTTCCAGTGACCCAATTTCCTTTTTGTTCGTGTGTCAGAGATTCCCAGCCATTGTTGAGTTTTTAAGAAGTCCAGTTTACAGCTCAAGTGTAATTTTTGTAAAACTCAGGTAACTTTTTTTGTGATCAAATTTTAAAATAAAAAAGACATTTTTTTTATAACAATAATTGCTTTCGTAACAATTTAAATTTTTGTTTTTTTTTTTAATTGTAAATTTTATATTTTTACTTTAGCTGTCATTTTAATTATTGTTTTAAATTTAATGTTAATTTATGACAGCTCGTTTTAGTATTTTTGATATTGATTTGTTTTGTTTTTTTTTTAAGTTAACCTTCATGCAATTTGGTAAGTTTTGTAGCAACAGAATTTGTAAACAGATGACACATGTAAGTTTTTTTGTATTTTGCGACTATTTGAGGTAATATTTTTTGCACTTTCTTATTTTTGTAACTGTTTGTGGTGACACAACAATAAATGTTAAATTTTTTCTTAACATTTTGTTTATTTTTTTAACTAGCCCTTTTTTGAGTTTTGTTTGAAAAAAAAACTGTTTGAAAAAAAAACTTTTTATTTTTAATAATTATTTCTCTAGTTACAACTAGCTGTTGTAATGGTTATAATTAGGCACCTCGAAGTGGCGTTCTTTTTAAATTACTAGAGGTGTTTTCTGTTTCTTTTTGTTTTGTTTGTCCCAAGAGTTTCATTATCCCTTTGTTTCAAGTTTCTGTAGTTGCCCCAATCCGACCCCTTGCCATTTACTTATCCACGACCCCAGCTCTCCTAACAAACCCTGAGTGCCGTTCGCATATGTTTCGATTATTTTTCTTGCCTTTTCTCTCACCCCAATAACTTCTGTCCCCAATTTTCTATCCCTTATAATAATACCCCATGTGGTAGGCAAAATATTTTCGTTACAAACTAGACTATTTCCTGACGCAGTTTCTGACCGGACATGGTAGTTTTGGCACCTTCACAATAGAATAGGCAAAGCTGCCTCGGCAGACTGTACTATTTATGCGGTACCGGATGCTCCTGTCCACATTTTTAACTGCCAGAGATAGACAAATGAGATGGGAGATTTCGAGAGGCGAATTTGTTTCGGGCTGGATGAAAGAAATATTATAAACATATTGTTAAGAGGAGAAAAAGAATGGAGAGAAGTATACTGTCTTATTTCTGGGGTGATGAAGAAAAAGGAACAGGACGACGAAGGAGGAAATTAAGCCAGGGATCCAAAAATTTATAGTTAACATTGTTTATTAGTTCATGGCCTAACGTCTAAACATTTTCTGATTTACGGTAATAGGTATGATTATATATAAATTTTTAGTTTTTTTATTTTAGTTGTTTATTGAGTGGCAAGACCACCTCTCTGGAACGGTGGATAAGGTTTTAGCCAGAACACGGTTAATCCGGCACTACCCTGGTGTCTTCTGGCTTAGTATCCCACTCTGTCGAAAGATACCAGGGTGTCTTGTTTGGTGACGTAGAGGTCGAAAAAAGATTTCCCCACCGTTGCCTGCCAGAATTCAATAGATACCTTCTTAGGCTCTTACTGGAATCTGGCAATACGGCAATATATAAAAAAAGGTACTTAATTCTTAATTGCACAATTTTAATTTAAAGCTCACATAAAATGCAATACTGATTTTAAATAGCTACATTTGAGTTTTTAAACGCGTGCATAGTAAAGGGTGGATAGGCGCGAGGCGGCTCGATCATATTTACGCATATTAAAACTCGTGGGTGTGGATGCATAAGCACAGGAACATGTGTCTACACTTGTTGACTTTATCAATCAACGATTTGGCATAATTTGGATACGTTTTAGTATCCAAGTAATTATAAGTATCACGTTTTTCTGTTAAATAGATATGAAAATTAATCAAATCCTAATTTTTGGTCCCCAAAAATTACGGGCTCTTAATAATCGCCTTTATTAAAATTAGTACATAGTAGGTATTTGACTTGGAAGTGAGACAAGTAAGTTTGTGTTAGCCACGTACCATGATATTTTT